TGGCCTCTCCGAACTCCTCCCATGCCCGAGTTTTCGCCTCAGCGACCACCCGAGCCGCATGTCGCTTGGACTGCCGGTACCCATCAGCTGCTTCCGGGGTCCCACAGGCCAAAAAGGCCCGATAGGACTCCTTCTTCAGCCTGACAGCCTGACAGCATCCCTCACCGACGGTGTCCACCATCGGGTTCAAACCCGTCCCCCCACACGTAGGCAGAGGGAGGCCACCCTCTCATTCACCGGAGTGAACCCCAACACACAGGCACCAAGTTGTCTCTAAGCCGCACATACTAAATATAAGATTAATCATAATTTTGTACATAAATAAGATGCTCCAATTATTAAGTCACAGGCATCCAGCATTCATCATCAGGATCTGTGCCCAGCCAGCTCTAACAGGTTCTTGTTGTAGTACAAGAATCAGCCACTGGATGGCATAGACTAGCTTGCTTTGCTTTGAACCTACGTTCAGACTGCATGATCGTCAGTCTTCATGATGCTTCGCTGTCTAATTGTGAAAACCGTTCAAACTACAGAATGAACACACTATGTATCTAAGCACAATCACAGGACAAAATGGTACCAAACCCCTACATAACCGAAATTATTTAAAAATTATGTTCCAGTAAATATTACCCAGAAGTCTTGGCAAGGTCATGTGACCGGAAGCCAAATAGTACCGGTAAAATACAGTAAATATTCATTAAATTAATACCATTGATTTTTATTGTTAAACACTTTAGGTAACAGCTGCTGTTTTTAAATGTACTTTCTAAATAAATTTGACATGAATTCTACTCGGCAGAGCTCAAATGAGGAGGAAGGGGAACAGCCCCTCCCTCCCTCTCGTTTGTTGTCTGTGCTGCGTTTTATGCGTCCGTTTAAGTTTTAAATGAGATACTGGTATTTAAACACGTTTACCGTCCACAGATTTGTTTTAACTTTTATTTAAATTTGTATCAGTCTTGACTGGCAGACAGCTTTAAAAATAAATCAGACTTCACTTCTCCACCGCTGAGCTCTCATGACAGAAAGGGGAGGGGGAAGAACCCCTCCTATTGTTCTCCATTGTTGTTCTCCACACCGTGTTCGGATGCGAGTTTAAAATAAGGTCCTGGTATTTAAAAGCACATTTAAGGGGCTGCTATGGCTGATTGGTTAGAGCAGTCGTCCTCCAATGCAAGAGTTGGAGGATCGAATCCACCAGCAGTCGCATGTCGAAGTGTCCTTGGGCAAGACACTGAACCCCTCATTGCCTCTGTGTGTCGCATCAGTGTATGAATGTGATCTAAAGCACTGATTAGTCTCTTTAGAATGATTTGTTAAATTAGCTTTGTAGAGATCTAGTAGAGTGTTGGATGAATGGGTAAATGAGGACACAGATTGTAGTGTAAAGCGCTTTGAGTATCTTGAAATAAGATAGAAAGGCGCTATATAAGTACAGTCCATTTACCATTTAGAATTAGAATCGGAATAAGCTTTATCATTGCACCGAGATACGAGAATATTTACGTACAGCCGTCCGAAAAATGGACGGAGTGCACAAAGCTGATGCTATAAAGCGCGGCCTTCTTATTCTTTTCAGAATACTAATTTTTTTTTTTTTTTTGACAGAAAAAGGGACAAAGCCATGAGGAGGGGTAGTGGCATTACAAAAAAGATCTCTTCACACCTTGTCCTAACAAGACATGATTTAAGACGTCAGAAAAACTCTACCAGCCAAGCACATTTATGAACACGTTACAAATGCATTTACAACGAGGTGGTCCATGAAGCACTAACAGATAGTCCATTGTCCTGATTAGGGGTTGAACGACTACATAATTTTAAAACTAGACATTAACATAATAAAACTCGAGTAGAACTCGAGTACTTGATGACATCATAGCATCTCAAAATGCATAAATTAATAAATGACATTTTTTGCAGTTTTATTCATTTATTATTCACCAAAAAAAAAAGACAAACAAAACATTAAGGGCATATATTATGCTCCTACCATTTATCATGCTGCAAATAAGTCACAGGAAAAACAAAACTATTAGTTATTATTAAGCTGCAAAAGTGAGAGAAACGTGCGGCATGTCGAAAACGAAACTAAAAACAGTGGGGTGGACGACCACCCCACACCACCGCCCGCAGTGGTGCACATTAGGTTTAGTTTTAACATGTTATGAGATTAACATGTTTATAGGTTTTTATAGGTTTAGAGATTAATATTTTTGCTTTCTGTTTGTGAAACAAACAAGGATGCTGGTTCTGGTTCGGTCGATTGGACCTGGTGTTGCACCATATTCTGTGACGTGCAACAGTGCATGCAACACCGCCCCCTTCGGTCAAAATATACGGTGGTCACAGAATTTTGTGTAATACCGGTTCGCAACGAGCTCCAGTCAGGAAGTTGATTCATTTTCTGTTTCCTACAGTAGTTGAACCAGAAGATTAATCTTTAGTGTAATATTTCCATACTATTGATGTATTTCTACCAGTTTGTCAAGACTGGGCCTGCTCCGCTCCATCCTTCTGCTTGGAGGAATTAATTTTGTAGCCCGCGCCTGGTGCGGATCATGTGACGCAATGACGTAACGGCCACGTAATGACGTCACTACGAATATTCGACATGAAATTTAAGAACTCTATAAGATGTGCTAGGAATCGATGTTTCGATTACTCGAGTAGTCTGTTAAAGCCCTAGTCTTGATAAGATGATGGTCAGCCGGAACAGTTCTGATGAGCCTTCACAGAAGGGGGGGGGGGGGGGGTGCTTTAGACGAAACTTTTCTTTAGTTTACACATTCCCCAGGAGAAATTGATAAGTTGGCCTGTTTCGAGGCCAGCTGGGAGTTCAATTCAGATAACCACAATTGTTGATTTATTCAGGCAAACTATTTTTCTGTTAGCCTTGGGTCTGTACTGATAACTTCCAAGGTCCAAAATGGCCAGATTAGGGTGCATTCTGCTGGTCCGTGCTTATGAACCTCTTTAAGGTTGTTTTCATGCTGATGAGTCCCAAAGCCGCAGGCGGCCTGTGATTCAAATCGCTTCCAATTTACGGCTTCGCTCGTAAATCAGCTGATTTCAAGTTCTCAAAGCACAAACCAACCTTCACATAGACAGCAGCCTGACGGCGTCCAAATTAGCTGTGACTGTCTTCTTTGTATGTTGATAAACCAGGATCCAAATTATTCCAAAAATGGGAAACCTGTTATCATAAATCCAATTATATGCAATTTTGGCGTCCTTGATCGACAGCAGAGGTAGACTCATCACCCCCAGAGATTTATCCAGCTGTATGCGTCTCGTTCGAGCAGATGAGGATTCTCTCCAGGACCCTGGTCCTTTAGTTGAAAACAATTTGTAATTTACGTCGAAAGTCCAGTTGGTCCGATCCAAAACGGTGTTTTCTTTTTGGAAAATGTGTAAAAATAGGAGCTGCTCCTATACACAGAGAGCAAAAAGGCAGGAGGAGAACAGGGAGCGGGGATAAGTGTGTGCGCCTCATTAGAGAGCTAGTGAGAAAAAAAAAATGTAGACAGAAAGATGTCACACAATTTTTTTTTAAACTTTTATTAAAACATGTACCAGACTTGACTGCTTTGCGTCTCCAATGCCTGACCATCGACGTATTGATGCAAAGCTTACTAGCAGTGCTGTTTCCTCCTTCAACAGCCAGATCGATCGCTTTTAACTTGAAAGCTGCATCGTAAGAAATTCTCTGTGCATTTTCCATTATCACTGAACAAATGAGCAAGTCTGTGCATGAGGCGTGAAATACAGGAACGATACGAGAACGATCTGAAGAAATTGATGCATGTCTATCTTAGGGGATGGTGCTTGAGAGAGTATACCTCATTCGTCATTCAGGTTAGACTTCTGGTCACATGACAGAGTGGGTGGAGTTCTGGTAGGGAATTTGAAACCCTGAGCAAGTGGTTTGGTATATATGGTTGCCTGAGGGCATTCATTCTGTCCCAAAAGCCTGCTCCCAAGAGCGGTGGGTGCAGGGCAGCTCCGTGAGCAGCAGCCCAGGTCTGTCTTAGGAAAATGTTAGTCAGTGGCAGGAAGCTGCCGAGAGAAGCAGGAAGTCTTTCAAAATCAAATGTAAAATATGAAGATTATGACCACACACACACACACAAATTAGCTGCTCTTGCATATAAAATGTGAAGTACAAAGTGCGAGGGGAAAAAAAGTAGTGGCTTATACACCGGGAATTATGATTATTTACTCTGGTATCAGATGCTGTGCAACTGGAAGGATTTTTACTGAAACCTTTTTACTTTTTCGGCATTTATCCTGTGTAACCATGGCAACAAGGTGTTTTTTAACAACCTGGAGCAGCTGTTTAACATCTCAAACGCCCAATAATATCTCAACTACAACCCCAAATCCCAAATGAGTTGAAAATGAGGCGCCGTTGGCGAATTCCCATCAATCTGGCGACGGTGCTCGAATACCTGACCGCCGAGATCCTTGAGCGGATGGGAAACTGGGCTCCTGACAACGGGAGGACTGGGATCATCCCCCGGCACCTTCAGCTGTCTGTCCATGACAACGAGGAGCTCTGCAGACTGCTGGGAGGAGTGACCATTGCTCAGGGAGGAATTCTGCCCGGCATTTGGACAGTCCTGTTACCCAGGAGGACTGAGAGGCCCGCCAGATCTGACGGCAAGCCGGATCCAGGTGGACTGATGATATGGCCAGATTCTTTGGATTTGCTGCAGGAGATCCTTCCTGCTCACAGCTATCAGCATCTATAACAACTCTTGAATGAAACTAGTATGATGAGCAACAACACTTGATTTCCCTTTGGGATTAATAAAGTATTTTTGAATTGAATTACAGTAAATGTTGTGTAAAATGGATTTTCATGGATTTTTATTGGGTTGCAAATAATTCACATTTGTATAAAAAGATTATTTTTATATTTTTTAATTGATCTATTCAAAATTTAGTAAAATCTGAAGCCAATAAGTAATGGTATGCGTTTTGCTTTATTCTAGGGCGTGGCACTAGAGAGGCATGAATCATCTGAAGACGGTCAGCAGCTGCAGTTTGAACAGGGGGACATCATTCTGGTGCTCGCTTACACAGAAAAGGTAAATGGTAAATGGACTGTACTTGTATAGTGTCTTTCTATTTGATCAAGATACTCAAAGCGCTTTACAACACAATCTGTGTCCTCATTTACCCATTCATACAGTGCTCTACTAGATCTCTACAAAGCTAATTGAACAAATCATTCTAAAGAGACTAATCAAAAAGGTATCTGTCTGGACAGTCTGTCTTGGCTATCTGAATATTTCATGTCCAGTGACGATCTGTAGTCAAATTTTGGTGCTTTTGATTTTCATTTAACATTATACTTGTTTCATCTAGATCCTTCCAAAATGTTTATTTTTTCCTTTACCTCCCATCCAACCTGCAGAGCATAACCTTAGATTAATTGTGTAACACAGTTCACAGAGTAGCATGATTAAGATGTCTCTCTATGGGACACACACCCTCTGCATTTTCCTCATATGCTGTCCCTCTTTCCTCCCCATCACGGGGGACCGACAAAGTGCCAGAATTTGCAGCCTGAGCGCTTGGGATGAAGATTTTATCATCATAGTTGCCTTAGGACATGAGGAACTTGGGTATTGCCTCGTCGTTCAGTTTGTGTTTTCAGCATGTTAGGGCGCTGTGGCTAAGTCCAGCTGGGAGCCCCAGGTGGCTGTCGCACCCAGTTCAGCATCCACACTTTTGTCCCACTTGTCATTGCCAGGCAGCATCCCACTCTTTGACAGATGTGTGTCCCTGCCAGAGAGGCTAGTTTGGCATGCTAGCCATCTTTGGAGGCTCTTCTTGGTGAAGCAAGAACAGTCCAGGTATAAGCTGGAAACTTCACATGCTAGGTGGGCATGTTCCAGCCTGGGCCACGTCGAGTACACCTGGTGTGGATCTTACCTCGAGATTATATTCCCGAAGCCGCAGGACCGAGTCTCTGATTCGCTACCTCCTCTGGTGTGAGGGGAAGCAGAATAGGCGAATCCCATGGTGAGATATTATTATTGTTGCCGTTGCTGTAGTACCTTTTTATTTATACAGGTTAATTCCCATTGAGCCTCAAAGACTCTTTTACAAGAGAGACCTGTTACATACAACATGCAGGCAGATGAGAAAAAAAGAACACGAGGATGGAGGAAGCCAAAACAAAACATGTCTGACACCATGTCCTGGCCGGGGCACAGTGTGAAAGATGGAAAAAAAAGACCTCAACTTAAACTGCGAACATACAATGACCTCATTGTATATGAGCACATTGTACATGCATAGCGGTCAACAAGGGCGATGAGTTATCCATAAACACTCCAGAAAGTTCCCAAGTTCTGATAAGATGGTAGCGTCTTGTCCCCCCCCCCCCCCCCCCCCCAAGAAGCTTCTAGTTTACGTATCCTTCAAGAGCACTTTTAGATAAGTTGGCCTGTCCAAAGCCAGTAGGGAGGCCAAATTCAGATAAACAAATAGTTTGAGCTGCCAGACTCTGTTTTCTGACGCCTTCAAGTTCTGCTGGTACACTCAATGGTGAATCAACACAGACAGATTTATGGACATTCCACCCTGTCCGTGCTGGATCAACTTTCTCCAAGATCGAATTCTTCATGCCGGCAAGTTCCAGTCGACATCATTGAGAACCCAAAAAAGTTCAATCTGGTTCTCTGGACATTCAAAAAAAACAAAAAACAAAACAAAGCAAAAAAATATAGAAATGTTTCGTCTCTCATCCAAGAGACTTCCTCAGTCTGAGGTGCTATTTTCAGCTCAGTCTCTTAAATAGCACCTTCTCAGAGTGGATCAACCAGTTTGCTGCTGACAGCCAAAACCAGCTGATCACATGCTCAAGAAGGACCATCAGCCTAACAATGGATCATTAGCACACTGATGGCTGTTTACTATTCACAGAGGGCTGAGTGATACTAGCAATCACAGCATTGTAAGAGGGGGACAGTTGAACACGTAGGCCTCCACCCCTGTTTAATGATGGACGATTTCTTTTCACAAAGATGGCCTCCTTTACTCCTCTCTCAAACCATCGTT